TTCCCATAGGAGCAAGAACCCTAAGCTTGTGAAGGATCTAGATTGCGCATGCCTTATATGAGTCTATGCCTGATGATCTAAGGTGGAGCCGAGGCAGTCATACTAGCACTGGGGAGTGGCTGCAAATATACATTAACCTTAGCAGAAAGGTCTGACTGCACAATAAATGTAATGCACTTGAATCATCCTGAAACCACCCCTGAACTTCACCCTGTTGAAAAACTGTCTTCCATGAAACCAGTCCCTGGTGCCAAAAAGGTTAGGCACTGCTGCCTTAATGGATTCCATCTGACATCTATCTAAGCAACTATGTGGAGCAACATTTGTGAATCATTTGCCAACCGTTGCCCCACCCCACCCCCACAAAAGTTTTATGACTACATCATTAACAGTATCTGTTAAGACAAAAGTGGGGGAGGGAACATTTGAAAAAAGTATTTTACAGAAATGCTATGGCACCAGTCATATCCCAGTACAGACACTATAATAAACCATGGTTTTTAAACAAGAACCTGTATGTGAACACACATTGTGAGATTACCTAAAATTCCAATTTAACTTCATTTCTTGTGCCTTTAAATGGGATTTTATTTTTGAAAGAAAGCACCAGCTTTCTTTTTAAAAAAAGTGAGAAGATATTTTACCTACAATTCACAACGGATTATTCACCATAAACATCAAGATATTATTATTTGAAACAACTGCTAAGGAAACAAGTATACCTATTCTTACTCCCTACACACCCAAAAGGCACCACCTTATTTAGTTAGACATAGGTCTTTTGTGAATAGCAAAGGAGAAAAAGTACTGGTCTAAAGGTCAGCAGACAGATAAATTCTAGCTTTACCATTTAATAGGTGACTAGTCATGTGATCATAGAAAAAAAAAAATCACTGTACCTTCTCAAATTCACATTCTTGAACCATAAAATGGAAGCAACACTCTACCTACTTCAATCTTATTATATTAAATAAAAATTCTTGTAAAAGCGTTCTGTAAATTGCAAAGCTCAATGTAAATGTTATAATATATAAATATGTATAATATAAAGTTCAAAAATTTAGCTTTTGGCCAGGCATGGTGGCTCACACCTGTAATCCTAGCACTCTGGGAGACCGAGGTGGGAGGATCGTTTGAGCTCAGGAGACCAGCCTGAGCAAGAACAAGACCCCATCTCCACCAAAAAAAACAGAAAGAAATTAGCTGGACAACTAAAAAAAAATATATATATATATACACACACACACACATACATAAACACACATATATATAAAAATTAGCCGGGCATGGTGGCGCATGCCTGTAGTCCCAGCTACTTAGGAGGCTGAGGCAGGTAGATCACTTGAGCCCAGGAGTTTGAGGTTGCTGTGAGCTGGGCTAATGCCACAGCACTCTAGCCCAGGCAAGGGAATGAGACTCTGTCTCAAAAAAAAAAAAAAAAGAAAAAGAAAGGAAAGGAAAGGAAAGAAAAAAAGTATGTCTGCTTGTACTTATTGACTTCAAAATTTGCTCAATTTTAGTACTTGCCATAAGTTTTCTTTCCTATACCATAGAGTTCAAGCTCAGACCTTTTCATATAAAGGTGCCTAGGAATGTCTACAGTAGTAAGAATTTACCCATCACCTCAAATTGCATGATTCATGATTTCATTGTATCCCAAAGTTGTGTAAGAAGAGAATATGCCCAATACTATACAAAAGTTTAAAGTATACTCAAAAGAGCATCTGCTTCAAATACAGGCTAAAAGCTATCTGCAGAAAGGCTTTTTAACATCTTTATTACCCAATTCAACTATGCATTTAGGTCAGAGAAAAATAAAATTTATTCTGGCCTATAATTAAAGAATTGGTAGTTAATCTAAATGCTTTTAAATTCATTGATAAAGTTAATTTACTATTACCTATTTTTTCCTAACAAGACATGTAATTAAGGGATTAATTCAGTGAGCTAGAGGTGAAGCTCTGGTGTTTTAAAAGGACCATTCTCAAGTGACTAAGAGATGCATTCACGCTGTTGATGCACTCACAAAGTGACCATCAAAACTAGATCCCCATCTCCCATGAAGCCAAGAAGATTAGGAAAGGACAAAATCAGCAACTACCCCACAAACCCAAATGTACTTCATGTCGCCCCTCTGCTACCCCCCAAAATGAGGAAAGTATTCATTTTCCCCATCTATTCCCCACTTTTCTGTACAAATCCATAAATACGGGACAGTAAGATTTGGTTCAGGAACACTAAGAGATGATGGACTTGCTTAATATGGCTACAAATAATATAAAAACAATTCCTCAGACTACTGGCTTGTTAAAAGTGATGGGATGCTATTTTTAATCTGCAAGGCCCAGGCTCAAACTTCAATATTTCCTATTTGCAAGCCAAAATTGTCCTTTTCCTGAAACAGATTAGCTCTCCCTCCAGTATTCCAATCCCCCAGGATAGAGTTAAATGAGGATACAAAGAAGTTTAGAAACTAGGTTCAACACAGCATGCAAAATAAAAGATAATCCTACTGTAGTAACATGGAGAAAAGAGAAAAGGGCAGTTGGCAAGCCAACATTTATATATCCAAGTACCCAAAAAATAAATCATGCCAATGCACTCTCACTTTCTTCCACTCCCTACACCTGATAAATTTTATTGGGTGACTAGAACTATGTGATCACTTTTTGTCACCACAAACAAAGCTGAATTCTGGACTCAAAAGAGGAATGGACACAGAAGCTGATTCCAGGTGATTCTCCTCTGCCTTTCCACTGAATCCCCCCACCTTATGCCCCAATAGTCACAGAAGTACCTCCTCACCTGGTAGGTCCTATTTCCTTCCCTCATTAGATCCAGAAGGGGACACCCAATATTAAAAACTGGAATGATATGGTTCTATCTAAAGAGTTCTACGTTCAATAACCAATAAGAGCTTTGCTTTGGTCAAAAATCCTCAGCACTTGAACCCAAAACATGGTTATCACTAACCTGTCATTTACTTGGAAGCTACAATCATAAGCTTTCAAATCGGTTTTAAAAATAAAAGACCTTCCTTCACATCCTTTTTGATTATCACAACAAGTTTACTCAGAGCCTAAATCCCCACAAAACAGAAAGCATTCAAATAATAATTTGTTTACTCCCAAGGGCACTAGTAGATTAAGAGGGAAACCTATTTGGGGCACAAGGGGGAAGGGGATATTTCCATTACAAGCACACCTACATTTGTTTGATTTTTAAACACTCAAATAAAGACAAAGCTGACCTTGAGCTGTACTTCCCCATCTTATTCCCCTCCCCCTCCCAACGGGAACCTTGTTCAATACAAATAGCAATTTAAGAATTTACAAGACGAAATTTAGTTCAGTATCTTTCCTACATTTGCGTTCTAGAGGTCTTTTCTCAAAACATTCAAATCCATGAAATCTAATTTCTGATAATACACTGGGACTAGCCCTGAGGTTATTCACATGACCAAACTGGCATTTCAAGGAAAGCAAAGGCCCTATATAACATTTTTAAATATAAATGGCTTAATTAGGAAAAATCTAAGGTATAATGTTACCTGACTCCCACCTTGTCTTACGCCACCCTACCCGACCCCACAAAAGCATTAAAACCACAGGAACCACATATATGATTTTTTGTTTTTTGTAATACTACGGTAGTATACGTGTGAGGGTAAAACTCAGGTACATGGGTCCAAAATGTGGAGGAAAGGATTTAAAAACTGTCGGGGACTTACGAGACAGGCACAATGGACATTTCAATAAAGTTCTGGAAAACGACTGAAGAACCTTTAAAGGTAATGGAGCAAGAACAAAGAAGAACTACTGGTATTTGTATATAAAACCATTTATAAAATGCAAAAAGGAAAACAGGATCTCCTACATTCATAATCCAAAAACCCAAGCCTCAGCTGAGTGCTTGGAATAGGTTAAGATCCTGAACAAAGTACGAACACGCATTCCAAGGCTGGGGAGTCAACCAAAATACACTAAACTAAACACTATTCGAAATAACTTTAATTTTCAACAGGTCTATTAGTCAAGATGGTACATGTAAACAGTAAAGTCATCATTTTTACAAACTGATAGGCTGAGGCACGACCACTGCAAATGCTAAAACTAAGAATCATAGTCCCCTTGTCTCCTGTTCAACGTACTATCCACCAGAACCCACTGCTTATGTAGCTAGAAAAAGACTAAAGGAACTTCGAGCTCTCTGGGATAAGGCCGAGGAAAAGGAGCGTGAGTGAGGTGTTTCTGGACCTTCCCAGAAAAAGGCTAGCTTGAGAAGCCCAAAAATCCTCACTAGAAGGTGTGCTGGCCCTTGGGAAAGAAATCCAATCGCAGCATCTCAGCTTGCCTCCGCCCAAAGATGAACTGCAGTGATTCCCTCTCTCTCCTTCCCCCACCATCCCCCAAGACTGCCCCCCACCACAAGCCCAAAGAAGCCCTCCGCTAGCTAGTGTTCTCCTTTGTGAGACTCCACAGCCGCCGCCCCACACTGGGCCTCCGGGGAAAAGCCACCGCCCCCACCCGCCATATTTCCCTGAAAGGCGCCCGCGATACACCTCCTAGTCTCCACTTTCTACCATGTGGGGGGTGTTTCTTACCCCTTGACCCACCCAACTGTTCTCCATGTCCCAAGACTGTCCCTGTAGCTCCCCTGGGGATTGTTCACCCGGAGACAGCACCCGCCATCTCCTCCCCCTCCCCCGCCCCAGGACTCGCCCTCCCCCCCAGCCGCCATTTTACAACCAACTCCTCCACCCTATCGCCTTGGTCTCCCGGCTAGCGAGTGTCTGCAGCTAAGGACAGCAAAGGGGTCAAATTCCTAGGCCTGGAGCCTCCCATCGCTCCAGGAGCTCACAGGCCATTTCCTGCTTCCCGAATCCAAGTCCCCGGGCCAGGCTTGGAGACGATGCCGCCATTTTGTCTCCTGTTCCCGGCCTCTGTGGGCGGCGGCAGAGGGTCCGAGAATTCCAGCCCCCCGTTGCCCCCCCAACTCACCGTCGTATCGCTCAGCCTGCTCGGCCAGCTTCGCCTGGTACACCAGATCCTCCCGATCATCCATAGCGGCAGCGGCTCCGGCAGGGTCTGCGCGACGGATGGAAGCAGATAGCGTCTCCGACTCTCTCAGCCTCTCGCTCCGTGTCCGGGCAGCAAAAATGGCGGCGCCTCAATCCGGGACTTCCGCCTGCGCACGCGGACAACTGCTCAGCTCTATGGCAACCGCTCCCTGGCAACTGGCGCGGGGGGCGGGTCCTGGAGCTCGGCGCCCGAAGAGGCTGGAACCAGCAAGACGCCCCTCCTCCCTCGGTTCAGCAGGCGCCCGAGCACCGAGGCGGGAACTGCGACTACGGAGAAAGACGGCTGCCCCGAGGGAGCGACTGCGCCTGAAGAAGCCAGCGAGAGAGCCTGGGCCTCGACTGAGGGCTGCGGCCTGACCTGAAAGAAAAGAAAGCGGAGGCTGTAACGGTTTTTGTGATGGCAGGTCTTCCTCACCGAAATCAGCTTGTTCTCCCTCCTATCTTGCCCCAGTTTTCTTGGCCAAGCCCATTCCTGGGCCTTTTTCAGGTCCTTTTAAAGCTGGGGTAAAGAATTGGGCCCTGCTGTAGTTGTCAGGGAAATGGGGGCAACAGTTTTCATGCCTCAGCTTTATGCTCACACACTGTGATCTTTTTCTTCTGCTCCCCTGTAGCCCTCTTTCTCCCCTTAGGCCCACCATGGATAGAAGCAGGGAAATTGCTAGAAGAGTCTGGTCTGGAGTACAGGATACAGAGGAGCTGGGCCAAGATCAAGTTGAGATTGAGGAGGCAGGAATAACTTGTTGGAAATTGCTTCAGGAGGGCAAGGACCTTATCAGTTTTGCTTCCCAGCACCTTATACTCAGTAAATACCTGTTGCACGACTGAACCTTAAGTAACAAGAACATAAACTGTGTTGTCCACATTAGATGTAGAATAAAAGGTAAGTCAGAAACAAATTATGAAGAGCCTTCAATAGCAAGGAAGTTTGCATCTTTTTTTGTTTTTTAAGAGATGGAGGTCTTAATGTGTTTCTCAGGCTGACCTCAAACTCCTGAATTCCTGGGCTCAAGGGATCCTCTTGCCTCACCCTCTCTAGTAGCTGGGATTACAGGTGTGGGCCACCTCCCTGGCTTTGCATCTTATTTTGTGGCACAAAAGGGAACTGTTTTGTGATGGTTGTGGGTAGAGGATGACACCATCATAGTCTTACTTTAGAAAGATAAATATTGCATATCAATGATTTAAAAGGATGATAAATTATCAGGCTATTATAGTAATCTAGGCAAAAAGTAATAGATGGTAGCAGTGAGAATAAAAAGAAAAGACAAATACGAATAGCACTATAGAGAGAAGCCATAAGAGTTTGTAGCTGATCAGATGTGGAGATCTTATGAGGGGGAAAAAATAAAAATTGACTTTCCATCTTCCCACCCTGAGTTGCTGGGATGAGTGGCAGTACCATTACCAAAAAGTAGGAATGGTAAGAAGAGTTGCTGATGGAATGCTGAGAAACACATGAATTCCTTTTAGCACTGGTTGGTTCTGAGGTATCTAAGGATCACCCAGATAGAAATATGGAGTTGGAAAAGGGGACTGCCATTCCAAAAAGAAGGGAGGGTACCATAGAAGCAGCTAGGGGGCCAGGCCCAGTGGCTCATGCCTATAATTCTAGCACTTTGGAGGCCAAGGTGAGAGGATTGCTTGAGGTTCAGAGTTGAGGAACAGGCTGACCAAGAGCAAGATTCCATCTCTACTAAAAATGAAAAAATTAGCCAGGTGTGGTGGCATACACCTGTAGTCCCAGCTACCCAGTAGGCTGAGGCAGGAGGATCACTTGAGCCCAGGAGTTTGAGGTTGCAGTGAGCTATGATGATGTCACTGTACTCTACCCAGGGCAACAGAGTGAGACTCTATCTCAAAAAAAAAAAAAAGAGAAAAAAATAAAAGCAGGGACATTACTACTACCTTGCACAAATAATAAAAAACTTATTCCTAGCACTCTGGGAGGCTGAGGCAGGAGGATTGCTCAACGTCAGGAGTTTGAGACCAGCCTGAGCAAGAGCGAGACCCCATCTCTACTAAAAATAGAAACAAATTAATTGGCCAACTAAAAATATATAGAAAAAATTAGCCAGGCATGGTGGCACATGCCTGTAGTCCCAGCTACTCGGGAGGCTGAAGCAGAAGGATTGCTTGAGCCCAGGAGTTTGAGGTTGCTGTGAGCTAGGTTGATGCCACAGCACTCTAACCAGGGCAACAGAGACTCTGTCTCAAAAAAGAAAAACTTATAAGAGAGTAGTTAGAGTTCTCCAGAAAAAAAAATAATAGGATATATAAAAATATATATAAAAGGAGATTTATTATGAGAGTTGGCTCACGTGATTGTGGAGGCCAGGAACTCCCATGAACTTCCCTGATATGCAAGCTAAAGACGAAAACTGGTGGTGTATGTCATTCTGAGTACAAAGGCCTGAGAACCAGGAGCTGTCATGTCCAATGGCAAAAGAAGGTGGACATCTCAGCTGGAAAAGACAAAATTCACCTTTCTTCCACTTTTTTGTCCCACCTAGGCCCTCAATGGATTAGCTGATGCCCACCCACTTTGGTGAGGGTAGATCCTCCCCTCTCAGTCTACTAATTCAAATGCTAATCTCTTCTAAAAACACTATCACAGGTATACCAGAAATAATGTTTTATCAACTATCTGGACATCCCTTAAACTAGTCAAGTTGACACATAAAATTAACCATCATAAATGGTATACCAACAAATTGGATAACAAATGAAATGGACAAAGTCCTAGAAACATATAAACTGTTGAAACTGACTCAAGAAGATAAATAGACCTATCACAAGTAAGGAAATTTAATCAGAAATCAAAAACCTCCCAACAACTACAGCCATACCACACGGAACAAGCCTCCTCAAAAACCTCCCAACAGCACAGCAATGGGAATATATTTAAGGCCACTGAACTGTACCCTAAAAAAATGGTGAAAATCATAGATTTTATGTTATGTATATTTGACCACAAATATATAAGAAAAGAAATTGGCAGGAGTCCACTTGCTCAAGGCTTCTTGGGTGTGGCTCTAGGAAAAAAAAAATTAAAAAAAGAAAAGAAAAGAAATAGGCAGGAAAAACAACAACAACGAAAATTCCAAGACCAGATGGCTTCATCGTTGAATTCTACCCAAATTTTTTTTTGAGACAGAGTGTCACTCTGTTGTGCCAGCTAGAGTGCTGTTGTGTCAGCCTAGCTAAAAGCAACCTCAAACTCCTAGGCTCATGAGATCCTCCTGCTTCAGCCTCCTGAGTAGCTGGGACTACAGGCATACACTACCACACCTGGCTAATTTTTTCTATTTTTAGTACAGACAGGGTCTTACCCTTGCTCAGGCTGGTCTCCAGCTCCTGAAGCTCAAGTGATCCTCACACCTCGGCCTCCCAGAGTGCTAGGATTATTAAAGGCCTGAGCCACTGCACCTGGCCTCATACCAAACATTTAAAGAAGAATCCACACCAATCCTCAACTGAGCAACGTATTGAGAACCTGTCTCTACAAAAAGTAAAAGAAATTAGCCAGACATGGCAGCTCATGCTTGTAGTCCAAGCTATTATGCTTGGAAGACCGAGGCAGAAGGATTGCTTGAGCCCAGTTCAAGGCTGCAGTGAGATATGATCCAGCCACTACACTCCACGCTGGCCAAGAAAGTGAGACCCTGTCTGTCTCTCTTTTCTTTAATATGAAGGGGAAGGAGTGAGAAGGGGGGTTCAATTGTCTTTTCTTTTTTTAAGACAGAGTCTCACTGTGTCAACTCAGTAGAGTGCAGTGGTGTCATCACAGCTAACTACAACCTCAAACTCCTAGACTCAAGTGATCCTCCTGCCTCAGCCTCCCAAGTAGCTGGGAGTACAGGCTTGTGCCACAACGCCCAGCTAATTTTTCTATTTTTAGTAGAGACAGGTCTCACTCTTGCTCAGATTGGTCTCAAACTTCTGACCTCAAGCAATCCTCCCACCTCCACCTCAAAGAATGCTAGGATTCCAGGCATGAGCCACCAAGCCCAGCCAAGATCCTGTTTCTTTCAAAAAAAAAAATAGAAGAGTAGGGATCCCTTCCTAACTCATTCTATTAGATCAGCATTACCTGGTTTCTAATAGCAAAGCAAGACAAAAACAGTACAAGAAAAGAAAATTACAGGCCAATATCCTTTATGAATGTAAATGCAAAAATTCTCAAGAAAATACTAGCAAACTGAATTCAACAACATATTAAAAGAATTACACGCTATGATCAAGTGGGATTTATCCCAGGAATGAAAGGGTGGTTCAACATAAGAAAATCAATGTAATTAACACCGTACATCAGTAGAATGAAGGGAAAAAAAACACAATCAGCTCAACTGATACCAAAAAAGGCATTTAACAAAATCCAACATCTTTTTTTTTTTTTTTTTTTTTTTTGAGACAGAGTCTCACTTTGTTGCCCAGGCTAGAGAGAGTGCTGTGGCATCAGCCTACTCACAGCAACCTCAAACTCCTGGGCTCAAGCAATCCTGCTGCCTCAGCCTCCCGAGTTAGCTGGGACTACAGGCATATGCCACGATGCCCGGCTAATATTTTCTATATATATTAGTTGGCCAATTAATTTCTTTCTATTTTTATAGTAGAGACGGGGTCTCGCTCTTGCTCAGGCTTGTTTCGAACTCCTGACCTTGAGTGATCCTCCCGCCTCGGCCTCCCAGAGTGCTAGGATTACAGGCGTGAGCCACTGTACCTGGCCAAAATCCAACATCCTTTCATGATAAAAATAAATAAACTAGGAATGGAAGAGAACTTCTGAAATATGATAAAGGTTATATGTGAAAAACCCACAGCTATCAGGTTATTATGTATGAAATGTCTGATTTCCTTAAGTACTAAGTTTGACAGTTGATAACTCTGACATTTCATTTTGACACTTCCTGTTTTATTTTTATTGTAAAGGTACATCCTCAGTCTTTCAAATGCATGATGTGGTATCTGATCATCTTTCAAATATTTTTTTAGAGTAATTTTTGTGAAACCTTGAATAAGTCAAAAATGCATGTTATTTTCGAATATGAGTTCTGTTGTGGAACCAATGCAGCACAGACAGCTCGAAATATTAACAAAATGTTTGGGAAGGATGTGGCTAATGAATACACAGTATGTCAGTGGTTGGAGAAGGTCCATTCTGGTTATTTTAATCTTGAAAATGAGCCATTTGAGTGACCTGAGACCAAGGTGGACAATGATGAGCTGAAAGCTGTAGTGGTGGTGAATTCATCTCAACCTAAGCATGAATTAGCAGCAAGATTTGCCATTACTATTCCAACAATATTGGACCATTTGAAACATATCAGCAAGGTAAAGCTGGATAGATGGGTACCGCATGAATTAAACTTTGAGTGTGAGAAGAGACATCGTCTTGAAGCTTGCCGTCCTTTGCTGTCACCACATAAAGGCAAACCATTTCTACTCCTCATTGTTACATGTGATGAAAAATGGATTCTTTTTGACCATTGCAAGCGTTTGACAAAATGATTGGATAAAGATGAAGTGCTGAAGTAGTCCAAAACCGAATATTCAACCAAAAAAGCTAATGGTGTCTGTTTGGTGGTCCAGCACTGGTATTATGCACTAAATGGTATTCATGAAACCTGGTCAGTCGATTACAGCCAATGTCTACTGCAACCAATTGGACAAAATGATGAGGATGCTTGCAATTAAGCGGCTGAGATTGGTTGATAGAGACAGGGCAGTCCTCTTGTAAGACAATGCTTAACCACATGTCGCACAAACAATGCTGCTGAAACTACAGAAGCTGGGCTTGGAAACTCTCTGTCATCCACTGTATTCACTAGACTTTGCACTAACTTAACTACCACTTCTCCCAGGCTTTGGACCACTTCTTGC